GTGTCACAACACCCTGCTTAGCACTCATTGATGAACTCCCATCCAAGTCCAAAATGGGGAAGTCCTGCTTAGCACCAATTGGCGGTCTCCCATCCAAGTCCCAACTGGGGTTGGCCCTTCTTAGTGCATTTTTGGTGGCCCCCCATCCAAGTCCAAATTGGGGCCGGACCTGCTTAATGCCCACTGGCGGACTACCATCCAAATCTGAACCAGGCCAGATCTGCTTAGTGCCTATTGGTGATCTCCCATCCAAGTCCGAACCCGGGATACTCCCGAAAGACAGATCGGGGCCCCACTGAAATCCAGACACTGAAACAGCATGAGGTTCAACAAATTGCACACCCCCTAATATCTAGAAGTGTTTAATTTAATTTTAAAAAACTTGTAATAGTTGTATATTCATGAATACAATAATAACCTGAGTAGTTGTATTTTCAAGCAAGAACATCTGCAAAGGTAGACACTTCTAGATCAAGTTGGCCATTAATGCCTTCCTTCCACTTGCCACTTTTTTCTGGCTTTGACAAACTGAATTCCTCCTCCCCCTTTCCCCTCCATTTTCCGTTCTTTATGAGTATTGCAGGTTTAATTTGGAAACCTGATAGAAGGGTCACTCTTTCTCTCTATGGGTAGTTTTGGGAGACAGTGATTGCCTAAGAAACAGTAACAAACAAGCAAGCAAAGGCAATGGTCCCTATTTTTAAATGATTAATTTATTTAAGGAAAAATGGTATACTCTTCACATTAGACATATTCTTTATTAAAGACTCCCATTCTTTTTCTTAGCAACAGAAAGCAATTTATGAGCCATTGCAATATCTTGCTTCACCCACACCCAAAGAAGCTCACATATATACTAGGACCAAAATCATGGTACAGACAGAAACATTAGGAAGATCTCCGTATAGGAGATTATAGTATTGTATGGAGTCATGTATTTCTGGCTTGAGTATGATAGAAAGAAGTAGAGGAGGAGACAAGTGTCTCTCATTTAAAAAAAGAAAATACTGTAGTGAAACCTTGATATGTCACATATCAACTCACAAATCCTCACATTCATTTTGATGAATATTTGAGCAGCTTCCAAGATTGAGTAACTGACTGGTAAAGGTTGACTGTAGCATTGTTTCCCCAGTCCAGGAGTTCTCATATAGAATGACATCTGCAATGATGAAAAGTTCACTGGTCAAATGAGGAAAAAATCCACTTAAACCAACTTTTCCAAGAATTGGGAATGATGGATAATCTCACTATAATTCCTCCTCCTTCATAGGCAGTTTGACTTTTAGTATGCAACTAATTTTTCATTTAATTTGGCAAACACCAAATAAAAGCTGCAAATGAAATAAGAAATTGAAGTCTTCTCAACACCATGATTTCCAACTATGGCTCATGGTTTCCAGTCCTGATTTGCGTTTATCCATTTGGACTTCATGATCAGGCCGAAAATGAAATCACATACTGGGAATGATCATTCTGTGCCCCCATTTTTCAGAAGTTATTTGAACTGAGCATATGGATACACAGAAAAAAATCCAAAGAAATCCTTGAACATATCCGTTCATATAGTTATGAAACGAAATGTATATTCCATGAAGTTATGAAACTTAAGATGCTGGATGGGACAGAACTAGTGACTTTTCCATCTGTCAGGTCAGAACTCTTAAATATATTTTGAACTCATATTTACAATAAAAGACACTTCAGAAATTTGGTTATACATGGTCCACATTTAAATGGTTTTTCTTATGAATTCTATAAGCACTTGTTCCTCTGTCAACACTGTACAATCATATTATGCAAATAGAAAGGGTTTTAGAAGCATAGACATATTGATAGGATCTCCAAATAGATGCATTCTGAAACCTCACAATACTTTCCTTCTTCCAAGCTCTTACCAATCAAGAGCATTCCTGAATATGAATGTAAAGCTATTTACAGGAATTATGGTAAGGGCACTAAATTATTTTAGTGTCCACACCAGTTGAAACAGATATGAATGAAATACTCTATGATGAACACAATAAGATGCCTTATAATGTAAACAACATACCAGTTTCTATTATTTGCCTAAATACATTGAAGACATTTCACTGAATATAATGGCTGTATCTCTGCAAGCTGCTAACGAGGACTACAGAAAACGGGTTTTTTTTAGTGTTACAGTAGTTTGGAAGCCCACTGGAAGGTATCACATCAATATGTATCGTATTTTCTGGCGTATAAGACTACCTTTTAACCCAAGAAAATCTTCTCAAAAGTCAGGGGTCATCTTATACACCAGGAGTCATCTTATACGCCAGGGGTTGTTTTATAGAGCGGGTGCTGAAACTTCCAATTCGGATTGGAGAATCTGTGGTTGCCGCATATGGTGGGGGGAGCGCAAAAATGGCAGTGGCCGCATCCCTGCCATATGCAGCGACTGTATGAAAGCATTAAGGGCAACGCTGTACAAGTACGTTTGAAGAAAATCCATTCATCAGGATTGGTGGACTTAACGCGGTCCCGATGGTAAGGTGAAGGGGCGCCTCACTGGGAAGGTGTAAGTGAAGGGCGGAGCAAGCTACAGGCATCTGGGGCGCCCGGGCTATGGACAAAAGAGATAGAGTGGCTCTGGGTCCAGAAAAACACACCTCTTTACCTATCTGGCCCACCCTTGTATCCTATTACCGTACCTCCTCCTCTGCCTCTCAGCTCTCGCTCCTGAAGACTACAGTGAAGCGGTGCAGGTGTGCATGTGCAAGATCTGAGAGGCATAGAAGGAGGTACAGTAATAGGAGAATTACCATATTGAAATCAAATTTGATGATCTTTAAATTTTTATTTGGTGTGCGTTGGAAGAGGGGTAGTCTTATACGGTGAGTATATCCCAAACTCTATATTTTGACTGGAAAAGTTGGGGGTCTTCTTATATGCCGGAAAATATGGTATATAGGAAGTCATACAGTACTCCTTAACTCTGACTCATAGTCAACATTTTCTCAAAGATCACTGATCTGGAGTTTGGTTTAAGTACCGTATATTCCGGAATACAAGGTGATGAGGGGTATAAGACGACCTCCCAACGTTTGATGATAAAATACAGTTAGGGATATACTTGCCGTTTAAGACTACCCCCCTCTTCGAAGACTATGCCCCCGCCGCTCACCGTTCAAGGACCTTCTCGCCCTCTCTGCTTACCTCCTCTGAAGGCCACTGGGCTTGCCAAGGAAGTGCCTCTGGATGCCGACTCCTACAAGTGGACTCCCTGACTCCTATTGCTTCCAGCATGCCTCTGGGAGCACATCCAAGGCACACCATCGCCCAGCGCTGCTTGGAGTCATCCGGAGACACTTCCTTGGGCCTTCGGATGCCGACTCCCAGCAGCGCTGGGTGACGGCGTGCCTTGGAGGTGCTCCCAGAGGCATGCTGGGAGCAATAGTTCCCTGAATCCCACTGCTCCCAGCATGCCTCTGGGAGCACATCCAAGGCACGCTGCCGGCCAGCGCTACTTTGACTCGGTGTCGGGAGACGCTTCCTTGGGCCTAGGCAAGCCTTCGGAGAAGGTAAGCGGCGAGGGCAGAGGAGGTCCTTGAATGGAGGGAAAAGGAAAGCCCAGCGGGCCATCACCCCCAGCCGGTCTCCATGGCAATGCAACCTGCCACTCCTCCTCCCCATGCCCTCCCTCCCGACCCTCCTCCTCCTCCCTCCCTCCCTCCTCAAGCCACGCCACTAAGGGCAATGTTATTTTTTTTCTTTAACTAATTATTTTAATTTCTACCCGGTGTACTAGACGACCCCCAACTTTTAATAAGATTGTCCAAGCATAAAAAGTTCTCTAGTACCCCGGAATATACAGTAGTTACAAAAATTAAATTATAAAAAATACAAGTCCTTTTAGGTAATACTATAATGCTTTTACAACTATGCTTTGAAAATGAAGTTTCCCACCTCACCTGTAAGCAGAATGATGTCCCCGGGAAAGACTGTCAGTGACCAAAATGCTGCTGCTCTCCATAACATCACCTTCCGTTGTATTTCTGATTGATCAAAAACTACGACTGTGGCTAATGGGACCCTTGAGGGTAATTTAGTTCCTGACTTGATCTGTATTTCTTTCACATGACAAGGGTGCAGTACTGTGACGAGGACAGTGTATTTTTGGCCTTTGCAGATACATTCTTTAAGCAACGATGAGTGCTTCTGAATTGTTTTGTTTCTTAAAATGTTCTGCTCCTTAATTTGTGGAACTGGACATATGGAAGAATAAGCCAACTTGGTTTTCTTTGATCGCTGCTCATCTCCACTTCTAAAATGAATTGCAGGTGAGATATCTTCAAATGTTCGGGACCTTTTTGCAGACCAGTCTCTTTGAAAACACAGTGTTTTTGTCTTTGGTTGTTCAGTATACTCATTATTAGGGTTATTATCAGGTGAATGATGTGTGGACATGCTAACATTTTCCTGAAAGCGAGTTTCTTTGAAAATTAAGTTCTCTTTTTCAGGACTATTAGAATCAAAAAGTTCAAGAGAGCTCTCATAAGTATGTTTACAATTTAATTCATCCAGGTCAGGTGGATCGAATACTGTTTCATGATCCCTAGCAGAGTCATACAATTTCATTCCCTGCTCTTCTGTATATTTGATCTGAATTCCATTTTTTCCTACAGCATGACTTCCTGAAAGTAAAGCCTGACTTGAGGTCAGAATACTAAGGTATTCAGTGTCTGTTGATATTGCAAGGCTGGTACATAAATGGAGTGGTTTTTCAATTTTTGATTTGTCCATAATTTGTGGGCAACATGACTTCAGGAATTGACCCAGGGGCTGGCAATGATCACACTGAAAGGCTGGTGGCTTATCATCTTGTTCCACAGATTTCATTTTATTGATATTTCTACTAGTACTGGGAGATAACAGAGAAAAATCAAAGTGATTATTCTTCATGGAACTGATATCTTCTTTATTGTCTTCCGGCTGTTTGCTTTGGTGTTCATTTGTCTTAAGTTCCTTATATGCAAGATGATTCGTTTGATCCTCTGTACTTACATTTCTAGGGACATGACAAATGATGCCAGTTGATTCACCTATTTCATTTGTATTGCTAAAGGATTTTATACTTGGAGAATCAACTGCACAGTCTGTCAAATTTGCCATCCTACTTTTTCCACCGAAATTTGGTGTGAATTCATCTTTAAAGCAGGCAGTCAATGCTTCACTTTTTGGCATTTGATGGTCTGCCTCATCTGGACTTATGCCTTTTTTTGTGCAAGGTAAAGAAGTATCTTTGGTAAATGAAAAATAGAGTTTTTTCCATTTTTCAGAAGCTGCTGTTGAAGATATATCTTCTTTGGTTTTCTTTAATAAAGTTGGGATGATGGGTGCACCAACAAAAATATGAATTTGAGAGGCTCCAGACATGTTTTCCTTCCAAAGATTTGATTACAGAAAAAACCAAGTTCTTTTAATAAGGATATCAATTCATTTAATAGAAAATGCCTAAAATGTTGTTTTAATTTTTCAAATAATTCCTTGAAGGGTAGATAGTAATCTAAATCTTCATAGTCTAGCCAAATAAATATATGTCATTTTTCAAATTGTCATATTAATGTGGACCATTCATGTAATATAATAAATAATAAAAAACACTAAACAAAGCTCATCACTTTTTGTGACTGAATCAGATTTCATGTACTTTACAGATTAAGAGTTAGTTTTATATTTTGTTCATATTATTGCTGAGTGCTATTAAGCCCTAAAAGTAATTCTATTTTTTACTATACAAGTGCAATAATGGAAACATAGCTGTTGTAGGGAGTAGAGTGTCACATCTGTGTCTGCAATGAGGAGTCGTAGTGAATCAGGAAAAGAAGCTTTCTTGGGTTAGCCATTTAAAAGTAGAAATGCTGATGCCTCCAAACCCCAGTTGTGTCTCTCCAGGCATAATAAAACATCCAATGTCATTAAATAGTATGAACACATGGAAATGACAAGGGCAGTAATTAAATTTTCCAGCCGGTATTTATATGGTGGTAGTAGTCTGTTTTCCACAATGTCCAAATCCCGAGGCTTAAAACAGAAGTACCAATCTTCTCACATTAAGTGTTCATGGAAGCAATGGCAAAACATATGGTGATAGATTTATGAAGTCATTAAATTGAAATCAGGAGTCCAAGATTTGTAGCAGAAATTTCAGGTGCTTGATGTCCTACAAATGATTTAAAGACAAAAAATATTAAATGTACATAATAGATGTACTATTTATTTACTATTTATTTATATGAACCAAAGTGCTGTTCCAGCAGTCACCAGCCAACCCTAACGTGGTCTACAGACGTCACATGCAACTCCTGGAACGACTCCATCAGTGGCCTCCGGAAAATCCTGCAAATCTCTTGGGAAGACAAGCGGACACACGTCAGCGTGCTGGAAGAAGCAAAGACCACCAGCATTGAAGCGATGGTCCTCCGCCATCAACTCCGCTGGACCGGCCACGTTGTCCGGATGCCTGACCACCGTCTCCCAAAGCAGTTGCTCTACTCAGAACTCAAGAACGGAAAACGGAATGTTGGTGGACAGGAAAAGAGATTTAAAGATAGGCTTAAAGCTAACCTTAAAAATAATGGCATAGACACTGAGAACTGGGAAACCCTGGCCTTTGAGCACTCTAACTGGAGATCAGCTGTGACCAGCAGTGCTGCAGAATTCGAGGAGGCACGAGTGGAGGGTGAAAGAGAGAAATGTGCCAGGAGGAAGGCGCATCAAGCCAACCCCGACCGGGACCGCCTTCCACCTGGAAACCAATGCCTTCACTGTGGGAGAAGATGCGGGTCAAGAATAGGGCTCCACAGCCACCTACGAATCCACAAGGAAACCCATCATGGAAGACCATCTTACTCGTCCAACGAGGGATTGCCTAAGTAAGTAAGTAAGTAGTAAGTATTCTATTGCAGAAAAGGGGGCAAAAATAACCTACAGTACAAAGCAGTTTCCTTCCTTTTAATTTATTTGTTTATCATATCTGGAGCGAATAAAGGATACAGCTGTATCCATTTAATAAGTATATCCTGCAAAGTATTGGCTCTCCATTAGAGGTCACTATACACTTAGAAAAGTACAAAAGGATTGACTGCATGAGTCATGTATCAAATTTTAAAATAAATCCTGACAGAAAGCCCCCCCCCCCCTCCATTAATGGTATGATCCAGGTACTGTTAAGAAAGTTAGTCTATTGTTCCTCATGGAAAACAGTTAGGTTTTCTGGATGGGCATCTACATGTGAATCTCATATATTTTTGAAGATCAATATATAATAAAACAAAAAAAAAACCCCTTAATCTACATTTAGCATTTAAAGACACATAATTTTATCTGAATAATGTTCTTACTTCCTAAAGATATATATTACTGATACTTTTTCTTCATTTCTAGTTGTATTTATAAACATATACAAGCATAAAAACAAAGGGAAAAAGAGAAAAGATTAGGAAAATAAGTGGCATATGCCAATGATTAAATAAAGTTTTGCTTAACTTTATAAACACCCCAGACCCAAGGATCCACATATATCTAGAAATTGGAAAAAATAATTGAATCCTGACCAAGGGATAGCATGGTGAAAAGATGCAGGATCCTATCATCAAAAGGGATACCATGTTTCTCTGCTGCATGCCATCTGCGAAATCATATACCACCCAAAAGCTTACTATGTGTCTATACCAAGTACTAAAAAGTATCTTGGAAAGTCTTATAACTACATTCAGTTTCAGAACAGAACACATGCAATTACAAACATTTAAAATATATGATGGTAAACTAAATTCTGGGAGGGAACTATAAATAAAAGATTCAAGCTGACATGAGCTGAGCTGACATTTCTAAAGGAACTAATTTTGCTATGTTTTGGATGTGACCAAATGATTCAGTCCAAGGACACACTTTTCACTTTCCAATGAACCTAATATACTGTCTTTATACCTCAGTTAATATTTTCACCAAAGTCTATTCTTGCCAATATTCATAATACATAATTCCAAGACATGTTGTCAAATGCCTTCTCTGCATATCTCTCCCTGTCTCTCTTTCTGTGTCTCTTTCTTAAAGACAGCCTTGTCCTTACTATGATACTCCAAATATTCAATTATTTACATTATTCCTAATTGTCTTTTTGGAAGAAATCCACTCTGATCCTCGTGAATATTCTGGGAAATACATTCCTAAATTTGTCTGCCAAACTAGAAATGTAAATCTTATAGTCATTATTTACGAGTAATGACATATGTCTGCAATTCCTTTTAATGTCTCCTCTGTGTCTTCCTTATGTCTCACTATAATTTAAGCATTTACCCAAGAATTTGGCATTTGTCCTTTATTTAATAATCTAGGTTCAGTTAATTTCAGACTAGATTCTAAACAAATGAAGAAAAATATGAAATCAGAAGAGATAAAATTCAAAAGCCATTGGGTACATGGCAACCTTCTAGGATACCCTGCAATCAACAATTCTTGAAAAAGTTCAAGAGGAGACTGTAATATGCAACTTCAATGCATCATGGAAAATTTAGCCCCAAATATCTGGAGAACACCAAACTGAGAAATATGGCATAGATCACGGGTGGGACTCATGCAGCTCTCCTACTGTCAACTGGACTGCAGATCCCCAAAGACCTAACCAAAGTGAGTAATGCTGAAAGTTGCAGTTCAACAAAACTGGAAGGCTGTATGAGTCCCATCTCTAATGGACAGCATAAAGTGTGCTGCTTATATACAGATACATTTGCCTGGACACTACGTAGAAGAATAAAAGAAAGAGTGAAAGTATACAGTTCTAAGAACTATGTTCCAACTACGTTGGGGCTAATTAGTGATATACAAAGATGGAATGAAAAAAAAAAAAAAGGTCAGCCAAGCCAATCATGAATCACAAACACCGAAAAGGATGAAATATTACGGGAAACATCAGTACCGAGGCAGAGAGCAAAGGCTACACAGTGTTTGACGAAAGGTATGATGAAATTTTAGGCATTGGCCTACTATCAAAGAAATAGACTTTGCTACATCCGAGTTGTAGAGTTCAAACTGATGAAGGAATCACAAAAGTAAATAACCAGTTAAAATTAAGCACACTGAAGTTTAACCATTTAAATTTTCTCCAAACCAATTTGAGCTATGTAGATACATTTAATATTGGACAAGGAACATATTTCCTTTACTACATGTTTTCCTTGCCAAACTCTGTGGAATAAAGCCTTCAGATGGTTCATTAAAGAATTGAATCTTATTAGTAGACTTCATAATTTGGACAGAAAAGTAATTGCACATAGGCTACAGCAGTTATCTGAGATATTATTTAAAATCCATCACTGAATGAAAGGAATGCTAAGGGTTGGAAAATTCTGGTATGGAGTCTGTTTTTAATAAAACTGTTAAAAGTGAAATCCTAGATCAATTCACTCAGGGTTAAATCTTACTAAAATATACAGGACTTAATTCTAAGCAGTCACGAATTGCACTTACATCTAAGCAAACATTAGACTGCATTTATAGCCTCATATGAAATGTTATCTATTCTAAGAGTAGGCACAATTTTGCTGTCACAACTTCACAGCAATTCAGCAAGGTGATTGCATAGCAACAGATGCTGGTCCTTCTTCCCCCCAGCATTAAAAGCACCAAAATTTCAGAGTTTCCACTCCCAAACTGAAAAGCTATTTCTGAAATAAGGCTATGGCACATAATGATTCAAAATACAAGGAATTACAGAGAATAAGACGTTAATATTTACTTGCAAACCTATAATGTTTGACTTGTAAATTACATGTTGTTCACATACACTGTTGTGACAAAATTATTCAAAATAATTAAATGACGGCACAACTACGGAGGGAGGAGTCAGATGCTGAATAGTTGTTCAAATGACACACAAATAATAATGACAATATGTATGTAACTTAAGAAAAGTCACATTTGCCAAAGTGGAAGTATATTGAGTAGTAAAGTTACTTGGTCCTGTTTAAAAAGAAAAATATAGTTCTACTATCACTCCTGCATGCTATTTAGACCAATCACAAATCTATCTAAAATACAGTGTAGCAGAAGGGTGAACAATACTAACAGGAAAAATCAAGAGAGTCCACTGGGTTACAAAATGTCATCTCAACAAAGAAAAGCTAGCACTCACAAGTGAGACAAGTATCAAAAGGTCAGTGTATGCTCTTTCAGTCAGCCATTACATCTCAAATACATTGGTTTGCTCCTGGGACGATAAATAAATATTACATCAGCGGTTCCCAACCAGTAGTTGTGGATCACAGGTGATCCTCAAGAAACAGAAAAGTGGTCCTTGGGGGTCTTCTGCAGAAAATCTGAGTCAACATAGCGTGACTGTTGAGAAAGGCCACATAGGCATAATTCCACCCCCCTCCCCAAACTCCACATACATCCTTTTCCTGCTGGCCTCCCCAACTCCTTCTTCCCAAACAGAGCCTTGGTTCCTGTTAACAATTGAGCTCAGAGTGCTCCTCTCCCACTGGCCCAGTGGAAGCTGGTGATGATGGAGCTATCCCTTTGGAGCTCTGCCAGCAGCAGCTTCAAGCCTAGGCAAGCAAGCAAGCAAGCCTCCCTTCTCACTCACTCCCTTTGCCCAGTGTTCGCCCCTTCCTTCCATGCTCTTGAGGAGGCTCTCGCCAGAGCACCATTTGAAGTCCTTGCAACTCAACCTCCTGCTGGCTGAGCCTGAAAGGAAGGATGGATTCAACGCTGGTGAATGGGAGGGAGCAAGACTGGCAGTGTTGGATCCTTCCTTGCCTGGGCTTGAAGCTGCTGCCAGAGTCCCATTTTCAGGCTCAGGCGGCAGGGAGCTGGGTTGCAAGGAGGAGATTGCAAATGGGGCTCTGGCAGCAGCCTCCACAAGAGCATTAATAAATTTTAGTTATTTTAAAATGATTTAATTTCTTTATGTGTGGGTTGTGGGGAGAGGGGTTGATTGATCTTGGTGATCCACAATGTATCTAATTTTTGCCTCAATGGTCTCTTAAAGGTTGGGAACTACTGCATTACAACATTCAGAATATACCCTTCTATTTTCCATCTCCTCTGGTTTTCCATCTCCTACCCTAAGAACCTCAGCTATTCTTGGATATCAGAACACAAAGGAGCAAGCTTCTGAAATGGAAGTATACTATATTTCAAATCACTGTTGCCAGATGT